CCCCAAAACCCCAAAACCCCATGAACTGAGCGAAAAGGTGTGTAAGAATTATTGATAAATTAGACTACGAATAAATCATTCACAAATAACTAAAATTTCATTAAGATTGTCTGTATTAATTCTAACTAAGACTCCTCCCCAATAATGATAATCTCAACTTAACTCTCTCCTTCTCATTAAATCAATTTAGTCTGCACCTCAAAACGCACATATGAGAACCATAAGATTATATTAGTCACTATAAGGCCCATCATAATCTTCTTTTCCAGACTGGCTTTTCTTTTGAATTCACCTAGTCCTTTTTTCTATGGATCATATTCATCCTCTTCAAACTCTCTCATTTTTTTCAGCTACTTTATTGTGTATAATTTTTCGAAAAGGTTAACGTCTAACTCTGGCGTTGTGGGTATTAGCCACCAAACCCAATCGTTGCCTAAAGCTTGGAACATGTTATCTATAAGTGCCTAAGGTCTGCCGAAGGTTTCTTTCATGTCATCAACGTAGGTCTGATTATCTCCAATCGATTCAAATTGCTCCTGGACTAGCTCAAAACAGAAAAATGTAAAGAGAATACCCTCGATGAAACCAACAACGCATAAAACGAACGCTATCATATAACCCTAAATTATATGTAAATCTGATTTAATGTACATCTTTTTGCTAGTGAATCTTAGATTTGGCAGTCATTAGATGATAGAAGGAAAGAATCAACAGCAAACATAGGTAGGCTGCAGAAAGTCCGGTATAAATAATAAACAGTACAAAATATTTCAAATTCTTAGCTCCTACACAATTATTCACCCATGGGCAATGGTGGTCCATCTAATAGATAAATTAACTTGGTGGTGATTTACTTTGAAAATGCAGTTGCCACACTCAGAGCAATGATGAGCTCTCTCAGGCTTCCATGAATTATCACACTTCTTGCACAATTTAACTCTAGCAGGATCCATTTCACCTGGAGGTTCCTTTAGATTATTGACTAATTTGATTTGTATTTTACCATTCCTTTTTTAATCACTCCTGGGTCTGCCCATGCGGCTCTCCAATGTGAAAGTAAGCTCATCAAGCATAAATAGTTGAACGTTAAGCCGTAAAATGTTCCCATCCCTGATAGAGGCACACCTATAGGACGATAAGATAAAAATGACCAATTAATTCCTACCGTATAATGTCTGCTTCTATGGGTTAGGCTCATAATACCAATAAAATATACAGAAGTAATTGCACACAAAGTTTCCAAAAAGTAGCAATAGCACTGTCTGCACAAAAATGAATGTTAATACGCAATGGGAAGGTTGATTCTTACAAATATAGCTAGGAAAATGCCACAAAAATCATAAGTCTTGCACATATCTTGAGTTCTGGGAGTTTAAGTGAAAAGAAAGTTCTTTTGTTTGTTTAAGTTGTTTTAAAACTCCTTATTTATTTGATTATAATTACTTTATTAAAAATATTTTAACTCAAATAATTCCGCATAAATATTTATTGAGATTGCATTTTGTTAATTCTATAGACTCAAACATTATTATCGATAACTAATCACTCTTTGATCATTCATAAATGCCCATTCAACCTAGCATTATTCATAGTTATATTTGGATTGCTCTCATCCTCCTCGTGTCTCTCTGATATCCTGCTTAAATGAGATTGATTCATGTTGCTTGCATTTTATCTAATAGTAACTTATAAAACTCTTATTAACTTACCCATCTCTTGGTCCATTATTCTTGCCAAACTCATTCACTTCAAGATGTTCCTGAGCCTTTTTCTATTTTTCCATTCTCTACTACTGCTTGATCTCCATTCTATGTTTCAATTCCTGAAGTTCAATCTTTTCAATCTCCTCTGGGGTGAGTGGTACAAAGTCGACTTTGATCAGTATTTGAATGCTGGCAAGTATTAGTATAAAGTTAAGAATCATTTCAGCCCAGTACATGCTAATGATGATGAAATGAAATAGTAGTTTTACATAGCGTCAGACAATGGGAGATTGGCATTATTGTCATTACTTGTAAAGTACAGGATAAGGTTTGAGATGTGCCAAACAAAACTCAAAATACCCATCAATACTGATAAGACAACCTATTTTAAATTGTTAAATTAATAAAAGTATTTTTACTGTTCCTCTTCCAAAATTTGAGAACATAATCACTATAGAGAGGAGGTGCAAGAATGTAGTAATCCAATACAGTAAATACAAAAATCTGTCCTCTAAAGTTATGTTTTTTAGTAGAGTATTCTAGCAAGCTGTTGTCTTATGTCCACAAAGCCAAGCAATATAGATGAAAGTCATCAGTGAGACTATTATTATAGTCTTTACTGTCTTCAATAAAGAATTCGGCAAAAGGATTCTCTTTTTGAACTCTTCTTCTGCTTGTCTTGCCCAAACACCTGCAGAAGTCTTTTCTGCCTCAACATCTCTTCTAAGTCTGATGAGTTCTCTAATCCTTTTTCTTTCAATAGCTGCCTTTTCTCTTCTCAGTTTTGCCTTCGTCTCGTCATCTAGAGCTGGGTCATTCTCGAAATCATCAAGTTGTCTATTATTATTTTATCTTCTGCCTTCATCATGACGTTCCTATAGTAAAGCCATCAATATAAAATATTCAAACAATCTCTTCTTTCAAACTTACTCTGTGAGACATTTTATAGAATTATTTTAAAACTTAATTTACCCATCAATACAAGGATTTCTTATAAGGGGTTTTGGGGTTTTGGGGTTTTGGGG